GTCGAGTTTAAGCAATGAATGTACATATGTACGTACGTAAGTGGAAAGTAAGTAACGTAACGGAGGATAAGACGGTTCGTAAATGAGAGGCATCGAGTGGATTACCGGTCAGTTCGAAACCGAGGTAAGAATCAGTGCCTCCTGCAGTATACAAACGCGAGTTATTGTGCGATATCTCGTAATCGGTATTGAACTATCTAACTTGATCATTTTGATAAATAATAACGATAGTGTTGCACATATGCATCTATCAAAATATAAACTTAATATAGCTTAAAAACTTAATGATATACGATATAGAAATTAAATACAATATATATATATATANGAATAAAGGATATTTAAGATATGTAAGAGACGGTAATATTGATCGATTAAATCGGAAGATAAGGAAGAAAAAAAATCGATATAAAGGGATAAAGGAATCGATCCTATGGATTTTCGTTTATAGCGAACAATGAGAAAATCATGATGATAGGTATAATTATACTGTAATTATAAGTGTCCCTGTTGATCAGTGTCTATCAAAATTAGCCCAGTTATAGTACAACGACCGTTCTCCGATGATTATATCATCTCGATGAAACAAACAACGTATCTGTCATAAATCGAAGGTATTTACATATTTTTCTAATCTTTAATATTTCTATTTTTATTTGCATACTTACTCTTTTTTTTTCTAATTTCTAATTTCTAATTAATTAATTACGATTTTCTTTCGATTTTTTTCCTTTCAAAAAATATCTTTCTCATCAAATTTCCAATTAATTTAAACCATTTATCTTCCTGTTCGAAGAAATAATATCATTTAAATAGGTATAAAAGATTACATCGTTAGTTTGTCTTATTTCTCTTAAGCGCGTATCGATCGCATCGTGTTTCCAATTCTGAAAGAATCTTTTTCCATTTCTTTTTAAATTTTTCTCCTCTCTTTGTTAATTAATTAAAAATTATTATTTGTTTTTATCTTATTGTAAATGTTACTTATTTAACACGCACATCTATCTATATTATTTATTTAGTATTTAGTTTCTTGATATCTAATCTTTCGTCTATTTAATATCGATTCGAATATTTTTTTTTTCCTATATAATATAATTTCCGAGTGAAAAACACTTATAAAAAGGGTGCAACTAGCATAATATGGAAAAGCATTTCTTTTTTCGACGTAATAATACTGTAATAATACTGAACGATCGGAGGTGAAAGATCGGGAAAAGTAAACACGTTTATTTTTAGGAACAATGAGAGTAAGAAGTAGAAAAAAGAGAAGTAAGAAACAAAAATATAGAAATAAGAAAAAATTGTATTTTTCTTACACACTACGACCCAAATTTCGATAAAAGTTAACGGTACGTACCAAAAACGTATGCGACGTGATTACTTGATCGAGCGATGGTCAAGATTCGATTCGTCGAATGAACGAGTTTCATTTGATTTTAATTTCGATGCACGTATCGACGTCGATCGCGCGAAGAATACCAGTAGAACTGTATATTCGTATGTATATATGTGTACGAAAATACGATACGATGTATAGAATTTGCATTGTACTATATATCGGTTAGTTGATCCATCTTATCGTTCTCCTTAAGTTTTTTCGTTGGTTATTATTATGAAAAATACTTCACGTTGCGCACGCATAAGATAATAGAATTAAACGCTGTGATATTTTCATTTTATGCTGTATATATATATATATATATA